TATATATATAAAGTTATAAATATAAAAATTTAAAAATAAAAATAAATATAAATATAAAAAGAAAATCAATGTGAGATTTTGTTTCTATTATTATAAATGAGACAAATAATCTTGACTTTTAGAAAATAACAAATCTATGGACAGGTAATATATCTATGATAAGTGATAAATCTATTTCAATACGATACATTTACTTGTTCTACTTTTTCTCATCATTTTTCCCTACTTTGCAGTTTTTCCTTTCAATTTTACTTTCTTTTTTTTTTATTTTCCTTTTTTGTTCTCTTCTTCTTCTTCTTCTTCTTCTTCTTCTTCTTCTTCTTCTTCTTCTTCTTCTTCTTCTACTTCATTTCTCGGTCTTTTCCTTTTCTTTTTCTTTATCTTTTTTTTTTGTTTCTACGTTTGTTTCCCTCTAGCTTTTTCCCTTTGTGTATATCTCTCGAGAGGAAACTCGTGTTCGCGCTAGCCAACGACCCTCGACTACCTTCGAGTGGTCCAATTTGGTCTCAAGCGACCAAAGTCTCGTCTTACCTTGTCTTCTACTACTTTGCACAGTCCAATGCCCAAGATAATATGGCAAAAGTTTGACTTCTACTACTACTACTAGTAGTGAAAGAACGAACGAACCAACGAAAATCAAACAAACTATCTTTTCCTTACCTTTTCTTATTTTTTTTTTTCTACTTTTATTCTTTTTTATTCTTTTTCTCTTTCTCTCATCCTATACCGTTGGATACATAAATGAATACTATTTTATTTTTTACGTATATAGGATAAACGCATAAAAACACATATATATATATATCTGTGGTTGGTTGTTCACAGATACACTTCCAACAATTCAAATTATTTTTATCATACACAACTGGGAGAATATTTTTCCCTTTACCATACTCCGTATCGTTAAAAAAAAAAAAACTTTTTAACCAAAACAACCTGATATATATATGTAATACTTATTTTTCCAACTCTCAAATATGTACAATCAAAGTAGAGAATGAGAACAAAATAAAAAGATAGAAGAATGCAAAGTAAAAGATAATGTTACATGGTTGTTTACCAACATAATTACTTATTTATGAAACATGTATCGTAGTTAACGTAAACAACATAATTACATTTTTCTTAGATGAGTTTTTTAATTAATAAATAATTTTTTATATTATGTTCTTTTTTTCTACGTTATAACATAATAATATTTTGTTCCAATTCAAAAATATTATATTACATTTTAAGTAGCGAGTAGTACTACTATGATAAGCTCAGGTAAGCGAAAAGAAAATTGGCTGCTGACGCAAGCTCGGTTTCGTGAAACGTGAAAATTACGAAAATAAAAAAAAATAAATAAAAAAATGAAAAACAAAAAATAGAGAAATAAAAAGAGATCCTTATTTTTGTAGAAAACACGTTAGATATCTCGTTTCGAGGTCAAATAGAAAATGAAAAATATATATATATATATATGTGTGTGTGTGTAGTGAGGTAAGCATAAGATTGTTCTTTTTATATTTTTCATTATTTTTTTTTTTCTTAAATAAAATAACGGAGCACGCTTATAGTTGTGAAAAATTATTATATAAATATAATTTTTTACAAATTTATTGAAATTTGTTGAACACTGGGTAGAGTTGGTAATCATAAAACTAAAGTCCTTAATCCCTTTTAATAAATTCTTTTTTCATTTGTGTAATACGAAAATAGAAGAAAAAGCACACAAAAAAACTGGTTTTTTTTTAACATTATAACGATTTGTTGTTAATTAAAAATAGAAAAACTAGGTTAAATGCAATAAAGTAAATGAGAATTATTTACTGTATATAAGAAAATATATAGAAAAAAAGCTTATCATCGTGAGTCGTTAATTAAAATGAGAAATCAAGGTGAAGATATTTTTTTGTTGAAAATGTTTTGATCGCTCGCGAATACTTTAACTCATTTCAAATTTATTAACCATTTGAGCAATTTCACTTGAATGAAAAATAGAATATTATCTGTTGAATGCAACGAAGTAAAAAAATGTATCATTGAAGAATAATATAATACACGGAAAAATATGTATGCTGTATATTGATACGAGTATTTCTTACTTTTCTCCCAAGTAAAATGAGATTCAAGTGTACACATGTTTTTTATCCCCCAATCATGAATGCACGTATGAAATGTAAAAAAAAAAAAGAAGAAAAGGTATTTTCAGAAATGATTTTTCGAGAATTAAAAAAAAAAAAGAACTTAGAAAACTTGATTGAATGCAACAAAATGAATTAACAAATTAACATAAAAATATTTATCTTCATTGGTGCACAAGTACTTTCTCCCTCTCTACCCTTAATAAAAAATAATACACATGTTCGTTCTTTATTTTTATTTATTAAATTTTAATCCTTTTCAAATGAATACACGTATAAAATTAAATTAACCTATTAACATTGATTTTATTAATTTCCAAAAATTGATCAAACTCATTTGAAATGTGAGAAAATGTAAAGAAACAAAAAGTTTGAATTGTGAATTTGGACAAATGTAGTTAAAGTAATAAAATAATATTATCGTATATTTCTTATTCTTAAGTTTTTTTGGGGAACAGATAGTGAAGTATAATAATATAAACTGAGGATAGTTCTCTGGTCATGACTATAATACCATAACACCAAGAATATCCAACGCGATCGAGGGTAATATCGATTTGGCAAGCATTCCTTTTTGGTAACATCTTCGAAGAAAAATACTCGCATTGTCGTGAATGCTTTTCTCAGCGAAAGCAAGAGGAATGATCGTGCTTTTGCCATAGTTTTATACGATATAGTATAGTAGTATATACACACACACAGTAAGTGGAGTAAGATCCTATAAGGAAGAAAACGAATACTCGGGTTGTGTTTCCTAACACGTTCGTAACACAGAAAAAGGGTGAAAGCTGTAACTTTAGGAAGAAAGAAAAAAGAAAAAGAAAGAAAGAAAGAAAGAAAGAAAAAGAACATTCGCGATCTAATGCAACGATTATCGTACTCGATCTTTATGTTCGAGGAGAATAGTAATCGTGCTTTCCCAATTTTGGCTCAGAATTCTTTATTTCCTTTCCTAACTGTGAGAAACCTTTTAACATATAAGGATTTCAACGTGAAGAATTATTTCAATGTGTATCTTAAAAATAAATTTATTTTAATCATATATTATATTATATTATATATTACTAATATATATTTATATATTGATAATAAATAAATATTATATAATAATACATTATTAATATAATATTACTAAATAATATTATATTATATAATATTATTTTATATACTATTAAAATATATTTATAAATATATTATATTATAAATAGAATTATTTTATTATATAATAATTAATTATATATATATTATCAAAATAACTCTATAAAATATTTTATGTAATAAAAATAATTATTAAAAGCTTATTATATCAATATATTATAATTTATTTAAATAAACATATTCTGATAAATTATTTTCCAAAATTTCTTTTATAACATTTAAAGAATATAATAGAACTGCAATATGGCTCATTAATAAACAAATTATTATAAAAATTTAATTTAAACAATAAACAATATTCGTATGCATAAATTATTATTTCAAAGAATTAAAAATTGAATAATAATAATAACGATATAAATTATTCGAATAATAAAATTAATAATCTATCATTTTTCTCTCTTTTAATTGAAATTTTTTTTCCCTTCTTTTTGATCTGTTTTTTTTTTTTTTTTGGTTTCTTTCCTTATCAATAATTTAATTGTCGGTAATATTATTTTTTTCTTTTTTTTGTTTCGTTGCCAGGCGCAAGCAGCATTGATGTACGATGCCGTTTTCGTTCTCGTTGAAGCGTTCAACAAGTTTCTAAGAAAGAAACCTGATCGGAACAACGTTAGACGAACCGGAAACAGCAGTCAGCCAACCAACGGCACGAGATCACTTGATTGCAATAATAGCCGTGATTTGGTTACGCCCTGGGAAAATGGAGATAAAATATCGAGATTTCTTCGTAAGGTACGTCTCTCAATAAATTTTGATTATTTATTAATATATTCATTATAATTTTAAATTATTATACCAAAAGAAAATAAATTCTAATTAATAACTGATAGACAGATAGAATCCAATTGTTTAGTTTTTGAAAAGAAAAGAGGAAAACAAATTTACTAATTTAATTTATAAGATTAAAAGTGTGGGACAAAATTTCTTTTCATCGTATTTTTAACACGCGTAAATATTTTTTTCTAAAGGGTAATGGGGATGGAAAAGTTTTTCGAACATTGACTGTATCTTTTTATATATATATATATACTTGTGTGTGTGTGTGTGTGTGTTTAAACAAATTATGATTCTAATTTAAAAAAAATTATATTTAGATAGATCGGAGAACTTTTCTGTTTTTGTTGTTTTTTTGTTTCGCATATACAAACATTTTAATTAAGATTCAAAAGTAGGAGAGAGCTAGTCATATTTTTAACACACGCAAACACGTAAAGTTTCAAACATTTGAACGTGTAATTTATATTTTTTTTCAAGGGAGATAAAATTATAGTTACCAATTATAAAACTAGACGGAAAGAAAGATCAGACACTTTTTTGTTCAATTTTTTTCTTTTTTTTCTTTTTTTAAACTTTCAAAATCAACGAACTATAATTTTCAAACTAAAATACGTGAGCGTGGTCGAATTCGAAAAATTTACAACGAGAATCGTATTTTTATTCGATAAAAATCAAATTTTTAAGTAGACGACGAATAAAATAAAGATTTCGAATTTTCTTCTTTTCTCAAATGTTAAAGAAAAGGACATGGAACATGGTTGAAAATGTAGAAACGGGGGTGAATTTGGTTGTCGAATTTCTAGTAGGTGGATTTTCGATTTGTCGCAAATATCGGACCACCGAAAATACCATGGACCTTATCCTTCCGACATATTCCTGACAGTGACAGTAATTGCCGACACTTTCGAACTGCTAACGGAATTCCTATGGGGGTTTCGTTCACCCTGGTGAAATAGTCAGTATTATATGGATACCCTTACGTCCGAAGTCGCTTCCTTAGCATTCTTCTTGTGGTACCTAACATAAAACTTGTCGATATCAGCAAAGAAATCCTAGCTACTTGAAAAAAAAAATATCCTACCAAAAAAAAATCACATTTTCTTACATGCCCCCTATTTCCAAAAGAAGAGTCTTTGATTCTTTTAACGATTTCAAAAGATTCAACGACAGATATTGATCTCATATTATTTTCAGGTTGAAATTGAGGGATTAACTGGAAAGATACGTTTCAACGATGACGGTAGAAGACAAAATTATACTCTTCACGTTGTTGAAATGACAGTCAACAGTGCTATGGTTAAAGTAAGAATTAAACTTGAATACCCTTTAAATTTCTAAAGAAATATTTCAACATGTATGGTTTAATTTTTTTTTTTTTTTTTTTAGGTAGCTGAGTGGACCGATGAAACTGGATTTCAAACGATAGCAGCTAAATATGTCAGATTACGTCCCCACGAAATAGAAAAGAACAGAACATACATCGTAACAACGATTGTGGTAATTTCCATTTACTTTACATAAAAGAAAAAAAAAAGCAAATCAGTCACTTAATTATCCATAATATTATATCAATACGACAAGTTTATTTTTAAATGAACAGGAAGAACCTTACATAATGAAGAAAAAATCCGAGAATGGTGAAGCACTTATTGGCAATGACAGTTACGAGGGTTATTGCAAAGATCTCGCTGAACTGATTGCTAAAAAACTTGGCATAACGTGTACGTATTATTAAACCAAACCAAGAAAAATATAAATATATAATAATCTTTATTTTTATGAGTAACTATGAATTATACAAATTTTTTCAGACGAGTTGAGAATAGTAAAGGATGGAAAATATGGTACCGAAAATCCCGAGGTACCAGGTGGTTGGGACGGAATGGTCGGTGAACTCATTAGAAAGGCGAGTACCAAAATCCTTCGGTAATGCGTACGAATTCAATGAAAGAGAGAACGAGAAAAGCTCGTTTCCTGATAAACTTTCTCTGGAAGAACTTGTCGAGTGGCCCGATCTAATTCGACTACCACACGAAAGAGTTTGGCTATTGATCCTTGCCAACTTTCATGGAACCAACTAAAAGGGGCTGTTTTATCGCACGGTTGAACGTTCTAACGACATCCAGTAGATGACTCGAGCTTGCAGCTAGCAAGCTCACCCTCGTCTGGGGGGTTGAAATAGAAAGAGAGAGAGAGAGAGAAAGATAGATAGAGGTATCGAGCTACATCTATTGGATGTTACTGAAAATGAAACAACCCTGAAACGAAAATCATTTTAACTTTCTCACTGATCCAACGTTGGTATTTTTGTGTTTTTCCTAAACAAACTGTTACTCTCTCTCTCTCTCGTGTCTTTTTAACATCTATGAAAAATGAATAATATCATTAAAAATATTCTGTTTAAAATACTATTAACGATATAATTATTATTATTATATTAAATAATTGACATATATTTCAGGAAGCAGACATTGCCATTGCTCCAATGACGATCACATCAGAACGGGAGCGCGTGATTGATTTCAGCAAACCCTTCATGTCCCTCGGTATCAGCATCATGATAAAGAAGCCCATCAAGCAGAAGCCTGGGGTCTTCAGTTTTCTCAATCCGCTGAGCAAGGAGATCTGGGTGTGCGTCATCTTCTCTTACATCGGAGTGTCCATCGTCCTATTCATAGTCTCGAGGTGAGAGACGATAATACTGAGAACCTTTTCTCTACCGCCACACCCCATACAACGCTATACATAACCCTCCCCTTGTCCTTCCCACCTGTCTTTTTCCTTTTTCTATTCTCTCTTTACACGTAGACCTCGTGTAATATCGTCCATGTATCTGTCCAATACAAAATCCAAGCGTCCTCGTTCTCTTTTTGGATAACTTTTACTCCCCTGAGTAGATAAAGTCAGTACGTAGTCGGACTTGTTAAGGAGTTTGATCGTATCAAGGCCATACACCTTCTCCAACCTTCTCACGATTAAAATAGATACGATAGATATGCGTTGTTAAATATTTATTATATATTTTATATTATTTTGCATTGTTTTACATATTTTAATAATTTTTCGTTAACGTATCCAACTATTTTTTATTTTAATATATTTAAGAAATTGGTTTGATCAATATTTAAATTTATCTGTTATAAAATATTAAATATATCTAATATTTTCTAATATTTCTTAATGACCTATAATTGCTATAACTACTAGAAAAAGTAATTACAAGTTAACAAAATGAATTTCTATTGTTCCAACAGTTAGTACTATTCAATTTAACTTATATTATCTTTTTCTATTTTTTTGTGTGTGTCATCCCTTCTCTTAGGATTGCCTTTGTTTTTTATATTTTCAGTTATATTCCTGCTACAGCAGAATATTGTTACTTGACAAAGGTAGTAGTAGTTGTAGTAGTAATACCCTCACTCTACTCTTTCTCCTTTCATAGGAAACGCAATTAAACGATAGTATTTTTATTTTCTTGCCAGGAAAAGAGAGTGGTGGGTGCTTCTCTCTTCTGTAGAGAAGCACGACGCTTAAAGTGCCGCAGTTACGTGCACAGCTAGTGCAATTACGCGTGCATTTATCGCGATTCAGTGGTCATATTATGCCACACCGTGCCGACGATAAATTCCCCCACTGCACATACACACACACCCCCTTCTTCCTCTTTCCTTTTTATCCCTTTTGCTTTTATTTCAGACCCGAACGCGAGGTATTTGCGTTCCTTATCTATTCGCGTGATTCTTTACCTAATGAAACTAGGTTCCCTACGATAAATGAAGTCGAAGATCTTGATAACTTACACACCCCATATTACCGCTAATTTCAGTGTTAATTCGACTTTAAAAAGGAACGCTCGATATTTAACGCACTTTTTCTTTTTCCTTTTTTTTTTCATTTAAACGATTTCTTTCTTTATTCTTTCAGTCTTGTTATTAGCATCTCGAGTATTTAATTAATTGAAGACTTTGAATTGTTTATTAATTTAAAAAATAAAGATTATTTTCTAAAAGGCATATTACTTGTTAAATCGTTTAGAAAAAGTTGTAGATGACAATGGAAGTTATTTCCATTGAATAAAATAAATAATGTAAAAAATAGAGCTTTTTGTTTTTTATTTTTATTCAACGCCCATTTCATAGCTTCCAATCTATTTTGATTTAAAAACAAAATCAATTTCAAGTGCATTCTTCAACAATTTATTTTTTAATTTAAATCCAATTTGAAAATTCAATCAATTTCAAATTAACTTTGTACAATTTTTATCAATCATTTTTAAATAAAATATAAAACAAACGTTTCCAATTTTATTTCAAAGATTTTGAAAGAACTTCATATGACTTAGTTTTTATTTAATTATTAAAAATAAATATATAAGTCAAATTTGCACTTAATATATTTGTTAGTTTATGCTGTTTGATTAAATAAATAAAAATTGTACAGATTTTCACCATACGAGTGGAGAGTATTGACGATAAGCGGAAGTGGTGATCCATCGATAACCGGAAGAAATGATCCAAGTTTACAACACCCTCACACGCCTCAAGGTTCACCACACATACAAGCATCCAGTATGGCCAATGATTTTAGTATCATCAACAGTTTATGGTTCGCTTTAGCTGCGTTCATGCAGCAAGGTTGCGACATATCACCCAGGTAATATATTTATTATTAAACATTTATATTTAAATGAATACCAAATATTTTTTGTTCTTTTTTATATAAATTTCAATTAAAAGTATTGTTTTTAATTATTATTAGTTAAGTTTTTAAATTACTATGAGTACTTATGTTAGTAATATTATTATTTTATTTTAAAATGCATCCCAAATATTTTTTTTTTTTTTTTTTTTTCAAATTTCGAATAAAAGTATTATTTTTAATTAATAATAGCTACGATTTTAAATTATTACGCGTACTTATGTTAGTAATAATAGTATTTTATTTTTAAACATAATTACATAGGAAAATTCGCAAATATTACCGTGTTGTTAATAGAACAAAAGATTAATTAATAACCTTGTATATATATATTGGTAAGAAAATTGTCTTCTCTCTCTTTCACTCTCTCTCTCTCTCTCTCTCTTTCTCTCTCGATATTTTATTCGCATTTAAAATAAGTCTTTAACGTCTTCATTGAGTTAATTATAGACTTTATGCCTTTCGTCTAACATTTTCATTTTCTTCCTGAAGACGAGAGAGTATATACATGTATTTTTTAGATATATATATATATATATATATAAATGTATATGAATATATAAGTGTATATATAAAGGCGGGAAGAGAGAATAGCACCCTTTGACCAAGTCAACTCGAGCGTATACTCGGTTAATAGGATGAATTGAGTAAAATTCAAAACTCTCTTTTACTTTCTCACTCTCTGACTCTCTTTCGGATCTTCAAATTTTGTATTATAAATATTTCATACCTTCTCTTTCTCCTCTCTTCTTCTTCTTCTTCTTCTTCTTTCTCTTTCTCTTATTCTTCTTCGCACAATACATAGATACTTAAATACGTATTTTCTAAATAATTAGCCGAAAAGCTGATTGCAAGGGATTTAAACAAAAACAAAATACAAGAAAACGATGATCACGTAGAAAATAATTATAAATAAGAATTAAAACAATTAATTTACATATTAACAAGACAAATGAATGTAATTATCTTAACAAACGAAATGATTATAATTGTAAAACGTTAAAAAGGAGATTAAATACGATTTTTTTTTTTTATTAGATCAAAAACTATGACTTTATTTGTTTCTTATTTTGTATTTAATCTTCGTTTTTTTTTTGTCTCTTTTTCTTTTCTATTTTTCTTTTTATCGTTGGCCTTGCGTAATAATATAATTCAACGTAAAAAAGTTTCTAGAGTAATCGGTTTCTACGAGAATGCCAACAACAAGGTAGCCAATCCTTTCGTTATTCTAGTAGCACCCCCGCAAGTAGCAGCTCATTTAAATGAGCGTGTTGTGTTTCCGTGCTCGAATGAACAATTTTTCTCGCGACACGCGGCTCACGACCGAGGTCACAATATTTTTCTTTCTTTCTTTCTTTAAAAATTGCTTCTTTTTCTTCTTCTCTTTCTTTCTTTATTCCCTTTAATCGTTAAAATTCCCTTCTTGTATTTTCTTCATTATTTTTCTTGACATTTTTTCCTCTCTTTTCTTAAATTCAGAACGTACGATTAAAGCGCCTAGATGTCTGGAGATCTGTTTTATTTTTTCTTTTTTTTTTTTATTTTCTCGATTAAATAACGAAAAAAATATAGTTAATAAAAAAAAAGAAATTTAAAACACGATAGACGTTCGTGATGATCATTTTTTATTATCGATCAAAGATGCAAACAAAAACAAAACAAAAAATAATAGAAAAAGTAAAACGAAATAAAAAAATAAAAAAATGAAAAAAAGAAAAGGAAAAGAGATGGTGGTGGTAGTATAAAGGAATCTTTGTTAACGTCTAAAAAAAAAAAAGAAAGAAAAGAAAAAAAATAGAATGTGTTCGAGAAGGAAAAGAAAATAAAAAAAGATATTTATATAGGTCAAAAGTTCGAACATATTTTTTATTTCAAAGTTTCGTGAAAAAACGTTCATTTACTCAAACACTTAAAAAGTGCGTGCGCATAACCCTGGCACTCCTATCTCGTCATCCACGTTAAAAAAAGAAAGAGAGAGAACAAACGCGTGCTTATTTCGAAACTAGGTCTCAATTAATTTACATTCCGTCGTAGTCGAGTGGCCACCATAGCAAACGCCGCCACGAATCTAACGCGGCAGGCTCCTTGATTAATGGTTTAAATATTCCTACACCCCACCACCCTACCCCTCCAACCCTCTGGTTACGATATGAATTGTAAATTTTTCCCGGAAACTTATGCATCCGTCGTACCAGCCCTTCTTTCTCTTTCTCTTACACGCACACTTTCGTTTTTTTCCTATTTTTTTCTTGCTCCCTTAAACACCAAACCCTCCTCCTATACCACCCACCCACCTCACTCTTATTCTTTTTCTTTTTTTTTTTTTTCATCTCAACGATCAACCATCTTCTTATAAGGAGAATCATCCGTTATTAAATATGACTGAATATTTTTTCGCATAATCCGATTTAACGTCCTTCTTCAATCTTTTTTTTTTCTTCTTTTGGAGGGAGAGCAGGGTGGGACTTGAAACTAACTTCGAATGAAGAAAATCCCTACGTTAGTAGTGATGAAATGTGAATCCTTCTTTTGTCCGTAGGATTTTATCGAGAGTCGCATGAATTTTAAGATATTTGATTTGATTCGATTCAATTCGATTTGATTTGATTTAATTTGATTTGGAAAGACAGAAGACCAAGATAGTATAAAAAGTATAGATCAAAAGAATAAAATTAGTATTATTATTATTTTTTTCTTTTGGTTATTTGTCATTTTTACCATGAGATCATTTTGTTCAAACTTATTTGATATATCGAATGAAAAAAATAACTTAGGTCGATATCCGGAAGAATAGTTGGAAGCGTTTGGTGGTTCTTCACTCTTATCCTGATATCATCTTATACCGCAAACCTTGCCGCATTTTTAACGGTTGAAAGGATGGTAACTCCTATAAATTCACCGGAAGACCTTGCCTCGCAAACGGAAGTACAATATGGTACCTTGTCTTCCGGATCAACCTGGGACTTTTTTCGTGTAAGTAATCGTCAAAAATGATCTACGCTATGACGAATGATTAATTAACACCCATTTTTCTTTTTTTTTTATTTTTCTATATCGTTCATTCAATCAATATAATTCTATTTTAATTAATATTAACACTTTAATGGCCGCTCACACAACATGTGTGTGATAACCGGAACACATTGGCTGTTATTTTATTTATAACTTTATATATATAATTCTTGAAAAATATTACCGGTCTTCTGATGACGTTTGACTGCGTACACGTGTAGCCATTAAAGTGTTAATTAAAATATATTTTTATATAGTATTTTATTAATAAATAATTATTTATTCATCGTAGAAATCTCAGATAAGTCTCTACAGCAAAATGTGGGAATTCATGAATTCACGTAAACACGTGTTCGTTAAGACTTACGATGAAGGTATAAGAAAAGTCAGAACTAGCAAAGGAAAATACGCATTATTGATAGAAAGCCCTAAAAACGAATACATCAACGAAAGATTACCCTGCGATACGATGAAAGTTGGACGAAATCTTGACGCTAAAGGTTTTGGCGTTGCCACACCACTTGGTTCACCTTTGAGGTAAGATTGTCTAATAATTTTCGAAATAATTCGAATACCTAATTTCCTTAGATAATACAAAATACCAACACGTATTAGTGGTAATTAACATTAATGAATTTTCATTTTACTTGATGAAATATTAGAGAAGCAATTAAGGAAGTTTTTTTGTGTCCTCTTCGAGAGTAAAGCGAAGTATCTTTCCTGTTGGTTGGGACACTTTTTTTTGGGTATTCTAAAAAAAGTCGGTAGGTGGATAAGTGGGTGGATGGGGGAGATTTAAGGGAGAGGATAGGATGAGCCGCGCGTCATTACGCTCAATTAGCATAGAAAAACGTAGTGCATACCCCCTTCTTTCCATATCATTACCTTTAGGTTCTTTAACATGGAAGCGCACTTCACTTCCTTTTATCGTATTTCCCTCACAACTACCACTACCACCATCATCATCATCATCCATACATTTCTACCATTATTCGTTTAAAGGAAAACTCCGAACGCGAACTTTTTCTAAAGATTCCTAGATCGTTATGCAATTGATCATATATACATATATAACATTCTTTTTTATTCTATTTACTTTTTATTATACATAGGGAGAATTCTTTTTATTCTTTTTTATATATTTAGCTCGTCAATTGATCCTGATTAAAAAAAAAAAAAAAATAGAAGAAAAGAATTCTCCTACTTTTTGTCCGATCTTTATCGAATCATTCGAATCGATCCAGATTTGATTTTTATCCGCTAACTCGGTTGAATCTGATTTACCTAAAACCATCAGGTTGTCTGTTTGAAAGAAACGAGCCATCTATTCGTACGCTTTTTCATCCCAATTTTCCTCAACCTCCTCCTCCACCTCCTCCTACTCTTTCTATTCGTTAATCAGATTTATCTTGAAATCGGATTCCATTACCATGAGCGAGCTTTTCCCATAAATACCAAGTCTAGCACTTTGAAGAATCTTTATATCCTTTAGTCAAGAACGATCATTAGATAAAGCAAAGTCAGAGATATTCTTTTTTTTTTTTTTTTAACAATTCAATCGAACCAATGTACAAATTTTTACGATTAATTTCAAATCTTATTGGGTTGTTCGGAAAATTCGTGAAGATTTTCGGTAGATTGCGTAAAGTTCTTTTGCTTAAAAAAA